TATATAAAAAAAATTATGTACTTTCAAATAATGTACATTATGTATATAAATAATACGGAGTATATTTTTAATATATTAAAAATATATTTTTTATTTATGGTTCACACAAATGTATAAACCATGGTCCATGAAATAATGATTGGTTTTTATTATTTTGCGCTATAATAATTCAAAATACCACTTTTGGGACAAACTATTTTATGCTAAGAAAGATTTTGTTGAGTTGGTAAGATTTTATAAAATTTTGACTATTGAGTTTTAACTTTATAAATAGAGAAACAAATATATGATGAAAATTTTGCACCCCCATCAATGCGTTTTTCGATGATATGTTGAAAATATAACTTTTTAAAATTTAAACTTTTAGAGTTTGAACTTTGTAAATAGAGTAACAAATAATGTTGGTACTCTCTCAAATAGGATTTGATCAAACCTTGATTGAGTTCGGACACTATTTTAAAAAAAGATATTATTAAATGTCAACTATCGAGTTTGAATTTTGTAAATAGAGCAACAAGCACGTGACGAACTCTATTACATGCATTCCACAAAAAAGTCTCTTAAATCTCAACTATTGAGTTTGAACTTTGTAATAGATCAACAAACATTTAATATGATGATGAACACGTTGTAATAGAACCCGACGAAAAAAATAACTTTTTAAATACAAAGTATATCAACTATATATTGAGTTTGAACTTTGTAAATAGACATTGGATGAACTCTTTCAAATAAGATTTGAGAGTAATTTAAATTTTGGTCATGTGACTATAGGAGTCTTGTTAATTACAGTTCATGACTTTTAAAAGTATTAATTTAATACATTGACTATGCAATTTTTATTAATTGTGGTCCCTCCACAGCCAAATTGCCGTCCAAATTTTGGCGGAAAAACTTAATTAATCAATTAGTGTTTAATCTGATGGGCAAATTTGTCTTTTGAACTGTGGTCCAAATTAAGCAAAGTCAGTTTTTAACCCGAATATTCAGACAAAATTTGGCGACAATTTGACTAGAGTGATCAAAATTGATAAAAATTACATAGTCAATGTACTAAATTAACACTTCTGAAAATTGTAGACTGCAATTACCCTTATAATCATAGGACCAAAATTGAAATTTAAGCTAAGATTTGACTAAAACTGGAACAGTATATACCGGGAAATGAGTGCATATATGTAGGCGGGAATGGCAGGGAAGAAAATATATTGAAAGGGAAAACGCCAAGACTATCCTAGTTGTTGCAATCATGGAGTTTGAAATGTATGCCGTCCCTGTACGTATGTATGTATGTATATACGCAGAGCAGAGGAGGAGAATGGAGATGGAACATGAATCTAATTAAGAGGTATGAAGAAACAGTACAAGGTGGTCAGAAATCAGCTGGGATGAGTGTCTGAAACACTGATTCATCCATCATATCATTTGGCTCAGCCCCCACGCCCTGTCCCAGAAACTCAGAAATATTCCCAATATATCCATGCAAGCATGTTTCATTTCTCGATCTATCTGATCTACAGTCTTCAGTTGTGGGGAGCTAGCTGAGTCTCCGATTCAGTCAAGGATATATGTATATGAGGACAAATCGCAGGCCTAAACCAGTCTCGATCACTTGGCTTTGGAATGATGGATACATATATATATATATATATATATATATATATATATATATATATATATATATATATGGCTCAGAATTAAGTTGATGCTGAATGGTGCATTATTCAGGCTAGCTAGTATAGCTACAAGCATGTATAGCATTTCAAATCTCTAAAAAAGAATGTGAGTTGGGAGAGTGATTGAGGTGATCTACCATCTAGGGGAAATGGTGCAGTCCCCCCCCCCCCCCCCCCCCCCACCCACCACCCTCACCCCTCCCCACCCCCTTTATATATATATATATATATATATATATATATATATATATATATATATATATATATATATATATATATATATATATATCGTTTCCTATGAGAACAGGTCTTTCCGTGCGGTTACTACGACATACACAATTAGGTATGCATAAATGCACCATATACAGTGTTCGAGAATACACCAGAATGAAATGCCAAAAAATGCACCACACATAATGTTGTATTTTCGAACACTGTGTGGTGCATTTTTTTTTTTTTTTGGGATATAGGGAGGGCAGTACCTAAAAAACTAATAGCTCACTCGGTAAGCCAAAATGTTTAGGTCTCTTAGTTGGTTGTTCTTTAATATTTGATATCATTTTTCCTGGGAAGTTGTTATTTTGAGATATGTGGAGCCTTCTATTGATTTGGATGGAGTCCGTAATAAAACAAATTTTGTATATTTATATATAGTCGGAGTTGCAAAAATCGTGTCTAGGCGCTGCTTGCCCGCCTAAATTTTCACCTGGTGTTCTAGGTGGCCTAGGCGACCGATTAGCTATTGTTCTTTTTATTTTTTTAATGGATTATTTCACTAAAAACGTTGTCGTTTTGAGCTAGCGAAATAACCCTAAATTACGGTTCTCCATTTTTTTTTTAAAGTCATACCCGATGTAATTAACACTTTAGTATTTCCCATTTATTTACATTTTTGCTAAAATAATACTGCTCTTATACACTTTATTGTTTTAATTAATTTTGTGAAACAAATAAAACTTGAAGTAGAAAAAAAAAATCTTTTTTTTGTTGTTGTCTAATAATAGATTATTTTGATATGTAGGACTATATTACTCAAAACTAATTCTATTTTAATTGGGTGCATTTCAACGGGATATGTTTAGAAGAAACTCGCACAATCTTATTCATGCCTAATTAACAAGTAATTAGATACTAAAATGTATAAAATATACATAAAATTCAAACCAATTCAATAAACTCCAAACAGAAGACTTGTGTCCTACAAACAGACGCCACTGTCCATATCAAACATAATCATCCACAAAATTCCAAAACCACATTCAAACAACACATCTCTTACAAAAATGCATCTATCGCCAGCCACCTCGATCGCTCCTCGACAAAACATTACATGACAAAACATACGTAAATTAATACGTCTGCATGTGTTTGTATGTGTATACATACACGTATACATACACACATGTATAGAAAGAGAGAGAGACAGACAACACAGACAGAAGGAGAGAGAGAGATGCGTATATATGTACGTGCATGATTTGCTATTTACGATGATGTTTTTTTACAAATAATATATGGGGAATATATATAGTTGCGGTTTGACTTTTGCACTATTAGGACACATATTCCTACCTAAAGGCTGTTCTCTCTATGGTTTAAGAGCCCCAAAACTTTATTTAATTAATTGCAGTGGAAAATTGTTGATTTAAATATGGACTGACCACCAAAGTACAACAACAAGCTTACAAGCTAGGTTTCCATTTTCAAACTACAATTAAATATTTATATGTCCATTAGTTTATTGTCGTTAATATATAACATCACTAATTAGAATCTTTAACTTCAATTCTTTTAACCTTTTTCGTTTTGAAAATTAATATACTTCATAGTTAGAGCCAATGCTGCGGTGTTAGTTGTTGTTTGACTTCTTGACTACAAAATAATATAGAAGTCCCGAAAGGAGTGTCAAAAAATCACAAATTTTATTCTTGTCAACACTTTTTTTATTAAACCTGTTACAAAGGATCTTTCTAATACAGTTTGTCTCTCTTGTGTGGTTTGCAGGCTATTACACTGAAATTGAATTTACTCAATACACACCCTCGAATAGTAACTATAGATTTTTCTCGTCACACAAAAAATATATTTATAAAATGGCATGCACTTTAAGTCTATAAATTGTCACTATTGTATAGATTTAATTTTTAAAAGGCTGAACAAAACTTGGACCCTAGTGCCCCGCCAATTTTTTGAGTCTCATGTAGTAGGTAAATTCGCGAGATACTTCTCCGAGATTTAAGAATTAATAGTTTGTAGCATTGGCACTGACACTAAATCCGGCTCCAGACTATATTACTAACACAAATCAAACTATATGTTAATTGTGTTATCAAAGTTGATATGGAATATACCTCGGGCTCCTATACGTACTCCTCATACCCAATACTTGGTCAGGTACGAGCCTCCTGTACACCCGGTTATTTCCCGACCGATTCCGACCCTAAACGTACATCATTATATTGAACCGACCTGAATGTACTATTAATTTCATAGCTTAACGGGTTGTTGTCCGCACTTTGCGGGGTCGGGTACGACCTATTTGCTCGGATCCCGACCGTAGTGGCCCGAACATTAGTACTTAGCACTCGAAGCTAAGCCTGGTAGGCAAATAACACCACAAATATATTATTACACGTGTTCTTTCCCCTTCGCAGACCTGATCCCGGGTGCATGAGAGACAGGTGGCGAGCATGTCGGTCTCCCGGCATGTGCCCCTCAAGTTCTCTATAAATACCCCACGAAGCAACGATAAGGGAGACTTTTTGACTACTTCTAAACACTAGCTACTAGATAGCTCGAGAACTTTTGATACACTGTCACGTAAATCGGGTTGTAGAACTTAAACCAACAAACATACCAGGCATAGGATCCGAATCCAGAACTGACCTAGGATCGTATACTGTAGAGAATACCGCCCGTATATTCTACATCAGAAGTATTTGACCTATTATGTTAGGAGTTTGTTTAAACTCTGATCTAGTGACCAAATCTATAGGACCTAATACTATTAATTCCAATACCAATTTATATCATATCATACAAATGTTGTGAGGAGAAAGATGAATGTTCACCGTGTCAACAACGCTACCTTGTCCCCAAGAATGGTTTATGCATAGCCCAAGGCCCCAAAGTAATTAAAGTGCGAAACAACAACATATATATATACACAAAAAGTTGTAGCTCATAAATTTCCACGTTGCACTAAATGAGACATTTTGCACGACATTTCACATCCCACATAGTACGCACTCTCCTTAGTCTTTCACCTCTCACATCAAACATATTTTAATATGTGGTCTCAGCATCAACTGAGAAATCAAAATGGGCTTTGGAGTTTGAGCATTGAAATGAAAATATAATTAATCAATTATTAGTAACAAAACACTGTTTGTTAACATTAATAATAATGATATAAGATATGGTTGATGGTGATTAACTAATAATATGTTGTATGTACCACTAAGGTTTAAGGTTTTAGCGAGGGCTGCTAAAACCTCTGAGACACCGACATGTGCCGGCGTTTGAGGTGCGGCGGGACAATGGCGATCAGTCCGCCCAGCGGCGGCCGCATCTTTGACCGGTAAATCATTTCGTCGTACGGCCGGCGGTAAAACTTCAAGAACGGGACGAACGACTCGCGGGACTTGTCGGGTCGGGTGACGTGGCAGTCTTTCTTGAAGAACATGGCCGGCGACTGGAAGAAAGAGGGACGGGCGGCGCGTGGGTGGAGGGCGGCGGAGTCGAATTCTTGGGTCTTCTGCGGCAGCGGCGTGGAGGGAAAGAAACCCTTCCGGGCTGTGGCGGCGGCACCGGCGGTGCCACGTGGAGTCCGTGCGAGGGGCGAGGCGAATGACATGGACCGGGCGTTGAGCGGCGAGATGGCGGCGGAGCCCAGGTTGGTTGACGAGTGGACGGTGGTGGGGCCTATCTTCGACGCTGACGTGTCGGTCAACGTGAGGTGCCACGGCTTCAGAGAGTCAAAGTGGTGGGAGACCGTGAATGAGAACCTTGAGGATGAGCATGGGCCAATCTTGGCCGTTGATGATGCCACGGATGCAGGGCTGAATCTCAGGGATGCAGCTCTGGGATATGTTGAGAAATTATTAAACTCTAGAGAATCTTCAAAGTCAAGCGATGATACCACCATGGTCAACGGTGCAAGCTCCACAAATGCCTTCACTCCCTGCATTCAAAATCTAAGTTACTATCAAATCCCATTTAAAAAAACTTATAATGTTTGTCATTACACAAACAAAATTTATAAATCTAGCTTTAAATAATCTAGTAACATTTGTAAAATTATAGATTCCATTTAAAAGAACCAATAACGTTCATAAAAAATGACAAAATTTACAGATCCCACTAAAATAGAACTCTATAATGTTTGTCCTTAGGTTATAAAATTTTCTATAAATTTTGTTCGTCTTTGTGTAACGAATAGAATTCAAACGGAAAATTTTACTAAACCAGCCTAGATAGGTTATGTTGTTCACGGGTGATTCACTCGAACTTTTATAACATTATTTCAAACAGGAGATTGTACTAAATTGGTCTATGTAGGTTGCTTACAGTTGACCCGTTCAAACTGAGAAGATCAAAATGTCAAATTTAAAACTTTATAATTATCAAGCTAATTGTCTGACTAATTTGACTAGGATTGCTCGGACTTAAGAGTAATGGAATGTGTACCTTCCAAAGATAGGAGAAGAGGGAAGGAGGGTCAATGACAAAGGCCTTGTGAAGGCGGCCAGGGTAGTAATCAGCCACCACTTTCATTGCAGCCAACAAGATGTTCATAAAGGCAGAAGCTGACCTGAAAAAGCCTGCATTTTGGCACAAACCCAATTTCTATAAATACACAAACAATATTAATTACCATCATTAAACCAAAATAATAATTACATATTCATTCACCTTTGGGTTGCAAAAAGAGACCATTTATTAGCACACTTTCTGGATAACCAAACTTTATATAGTGGAAAAGAAGAAATTGAGACAGAGAATGACAACTTATACCCCCACATCAGAGCATATATTCCCAACCTTGAAAGCAACACCTCAAGGGCACTCCAGGCAAACTCTGAAAAGACATTGCCAAGAAACTGCTAATTTCCCAGGGACCAGTTTTGGTATGTTCTTTTCGACCCGAACTTAAACCACTCAAACTCTTACCATTCGAGTTAATACATTTTAAGTTTTAACATCCCCGATAATAAACTTAAACGATTCAAACCCTTTCCACTCGAGCTAATTAATTTGTTAAACAATTATGGAAAGCAGGCGTGACAATATTGGAAATTAAAGTGGGCAAAGTAAAGGTTAAATTTTTTTTCAAGAAAAGGTGTGTTTTGGGGTATTTCAGACTGATAAAAGGCTCCTGGGAAAACCCAGAAGGGGAATGTACATTAAACTACTGCTGCTGCTTCCCCAACTCAGAGAAAGCTGACTTCTGATTCGAGGAGAGATAGAGAGAGGAGAGAGAGAGAGAAAGAAGGATTCAAAATTGCCTTTTGTCCCCCCCAAACTTTACCAGATTTTCATAATAAGCTAATCAAGGATAATAGTGTCATTTCAGAAACACATGGTACTACTACTATAATACTTACTGGCATCAAAGAGTATCACAAACTGTTCAACATTTTTGGCCATGGTTTGAATTGCCACCTCCACTGTAAACGCCAGCAAAACAGTAAACCTACACACATATATAATAATAACAATAAATTCCTTTTATTTTTTTCGAATCTCAAAAGAAACTAATCTAGTCGAATCTCGTTTAAACTTACATTTTCTGGGAATGGAACTTCTGGTAATCTTGTTTGATCCTGAAAATCTGTTTTGACCACCCAAAATATTTCAGGAAAAAAATTCAAAAAAAAAAAGAATTAATCAAAGAAAATAATGGGATTAGTTAACAGTACCATGACAGGTCTGGAACTATCATCATGGCCTGCAACATAAGCCACACCTTCAACAAGCTCAGCAGAGAACTCATCAGCCATGAGACGATCTGCAAAAATACATACAAAAAAAAAACATATAAATAAACATAAAACTGACAGGAAATTCATTTTTTTTAAAACTTTAATCATATACCCATATTTTGAGTACTTTAATGTGGTCAGTTCACTCCATATATCATATTAAAAAAAAAAAACAAATATTCCCAGAATCCCAGATTCTTAGAATTATTCGATGGGGTTTCAAATTTTTGAAGATGGAGAGAAAGAACAGAGCAGATAAACATAGTACAATATATACCTATGCCTAAGGAATCCCTCCAAGCAAGACAACTACGAAGATGTTTCGCAGCCTTCTTCACGCTGTCCCCTTTCGCCTTCAAGAACCTCTCCACACATCCCTTGTTGCAGAATTTTTCCTGCTCACCAGAAAAAAAACATAGTAAAAACATGGGAATCAGCAGAAACAAAATCTGGGTAATGAGCATAAACATAGGAAAAACAAGTTTAAGGTATATATTTATATATATATATATATATATATATATATATATATATATATATATATATATACCTGTTTGAGAGTGAGAGGAGATTGTTTTCTGAGGATGTCAAGAACAGCTTGAACTCTCTGATCTTTCTCGTTTGGATTCTGACACTGATGATCTCTCTTACCCATCTCTTGTTTTTTTCCAGAACACACGCAAACGGCTATTAGCAGAGATTAAAGTCGGAGAAAAAAAGGAGAGAAATTTGAATCTCTCAAGAAAACAGAGACAAAGATTCTGTTCTAGTCTTCTTTTTCACGCAACCACCGTTTCAAACAGCGACATGGAAAAAGTGATGGTTTTTCTAGAGAGAGAAAGCGCGATGTTTTTTTTTTCTTCTTCTTCAAAGGATATAGAGAGAGAAGTGGAGAACCCGCATTTATAGGCGTGACGGCTGCCGTTAAGTGGAGGGGTCATAAGTGAACAGTGCAGAGGGGGGAGTAATGACGGCTCGACAGACGGGGCATAACGGAAAACGTGAACTCGACTATTTCACTTTCAGTCCCTATTCTTTTGTTCATTCCCAATTTCCCGCCCCCATATTTTGTATGCTGCAGTGCAGTAGAATGTTGCATTGTTTGTTTGAGGAAACAAATAATTTTTTTTGTGTGTGTACTTGCAGTTGGTTGATAGTGATGTTTCAAACACTATGTAATAGGCTAATAGCACCTTCAATGGAGATTTTTTGGTAGTTTTTGTATTGTATTGCATAAACATAATTTTTGGAATTTTTTTAATAATATATATATATATATATATATATATATATATATATAATCCGCGCACATAAACAGATGCATGCTTTTCACGTACTTGTTAATCGATTGGAGTGGCCACTACTCCTTTAGCCATATATTCTTTTAATTTTACTTTTTTGGGTATAAATTTGAAACTCACAAAATATGATAATAGAATAATCGAATCTCCAGTAATTTATGATTATCATATTGACTTGTCTATATAGTCGACAATGTAATAAATCTAACTGAGACCAAACGTTACAACCTTAAAACAAAGCTTGATTTCAAATGTGAAACTCGAACTCTACTTTCTGAGTTCGAGCTCGAATAGATGATTGGCATGTGCTTCTAACCATTTCAACTCGGCTCTTATACTTATATTTGGAAGGCGTAATATTTTTGAAGAAAATATAATACTTGTACATTTGATTTAAAAATATTATATTTTCTCTTATAAGTGACAAACACTTGTCAGCATTACTTATAAGGGAAAATGTAATACTTTTACAACAAAATGTAAAAGTATTAATAATATTACATTTTTCAGTATAAATATTACATTTTTATATTGATTCGACCTGACCTGTCTCACGAATAAAGATATGTAAGACGGTCTCACACAAATGTGACCCTTTAATTATACTATATATACTAGTCATTTTAGTTTATTAATCTGTTACTATTGTAATATACCATCATAACTTTTTGTTTAAAAAAAAAAAAAGTTACAATAATCTTATTATTATAGCAACAAAACTATGAAATTATATTAGAATTTTATGTATTACACTATTACATGAATATATTTTAATAATTTATTATCTTTCTTAGCTTTTCTGTAACATATTCAAATCCGATATTTGATATGCAAAATAAAGAATTTGGCAATCTTCTTCTCTAAATTTTTTCTTTTAATATGTGGTATACATCGCTCTTTTTCTTTTCACTACACAAACATGTTAAATAAGTTTTATTTTATAATAATGAAGTATAAAATAAAAACACATCACCGAAGCTATAGAATTTTTTTTTCTTAAAAAAGTTGTTGTGCTAATATTTTCTAGGCACCATTTGGTGGGATAGAGATAAACTTGTATTAATGATTCAAACGGCAATAGTAACAATGAATTTCAAATTTCAATTCAAAAGTAAAGTAGAAATGGTGTTGTTTGTATAACTTAATTAGTAATGCAATGTTAGTTTATTTATAACATTATCCAAAAAGGGGAGAGAGGGAGGGGGGAGCCATGATGTAAAGATTATTGTAGTGAAACATAGTTCTTGAACAGTTACTGGGGTTTGGTAAAAGCAAAACAGATAGATGATAGTAAAGCTTGTGATTGTACAAGAATAATTGTAAAGGGCATGGGCAATGTACATATGCATATATGTTATATGTTGTGTCTAAGGGTACTGAGTACTGACCGAGAAGGTAGAGTATAATTCGCATATTAAAAGATTACAAGTTTGATTCTTGCTAACATCCTCTCAGTTTATGATCTCGTCGCGCAAGGCCTTCCTAGTGCAATTCACATCTCGTGATTTGCAAGCTATTACACAGAAGCGTCAAGTCGGGTTTACCCAATGCACACCCTCTCGGTCGAACTGGTAGCACAGAGTACGTCTTCCTAGCAGTGCAGTTCACATCTCCTGTGTGGTTTGCAAGCTATTACACAGAAGCGTCGAGTCGGGTTTACCCAGTGCACACCCTCTCGTTCGAATTGGTAGCACATAGAAACAGAAGCGTCGAGTCGAGTTTACCTAGTGTACACCCTCTCGGTCGAACTGGTAGCACATAGTACGTCTTCCTAGTACTGATCTCAAAAAAAAAAAAAAAAAAAAAAAAATACATACAACATTATTAAGAAGGCAACTGTAGCAGTCTTTTAAGTTTTAATGATAAAAAGTAAATGACCCGTGAAGAGAATAGTTGTGCCAAAAATGTATTAATTATGTGCAACAGCAAGAAGTGTACCAAGTATTGTTGTGTCTGGTTTGATATAGTAACATGTTTTGGACTTACATTTGCAGTTTGCCCATTTCGTTATTTACTTTAATTTGCTATTTTTGCATACTTATAGCAGTGTGTTTAATTTCATGGTAGACAACTAGATATTACTATAGCTAATTACCTATGCAATTGTCTTTATTGTCCACATTTGGACAAACGGAGTAGTGTGTACTTATATGACCTACTATTGTATTTTAAGGTCATGTACAAATAAAAAGTATTTTTGGATAATAATGATAAAATAACTCAAATTTTTATTTATCATTAACTCAAATTTTTATATCAAAATAAATATAATTAGATCACTCTTACCCCTTAATTAATTATCACACCCATTGATGGGGTTATAGTCTTATATATACGGGAATCAATTCCAGTTTGACTCTCAGTGAGAGATGCCTATTGACCTTTTCGATTTGAGACGATCAATTATGGACAATTTATAATAATTTATCTTCTTATGATCATTTATCGTCTAAAATCACAATGCGGACTTCATCCAAAACACATTTTCATATGGCGGCTACTAATTTTCCAGTAAATCAAAAGTTATAGGGCAATCAATATAACTAACTCAATAATACTTGTACTAACTTTTGTCTTTTCTTTTTTGAATTTTTAGTAGGTACTTACCGTTTATGACCCATTATCGTTGAATGTGAGCTTTGCAGCAACCTAATTTCACCAAACAGTTAGAAATTTCAGTCCCTATCAATCAAAGAATATCTTTTTTGAATTATTACACATCAGCTGAGTATATTTAATCCATACTCACATAGGTCCTATTTGGTAAGTGTTAGTCTATAGGTCACTTTTAGCTTATTTAATCATTATTAATTATTTAACTTGGCTAAAATATCAATATAAGTGTTTGGTTAATTAGCTTTTTGTAACTCTAAAATGCTAAAATTCAAAAAGCCATTCAAAACAATTTTTTCAATTAGTTTTTTGAAAAAAAAAATTATACCAAACAACTATCAGGTAACAGCTAATTTATCAAACACCTTTCTACAATCAGTTAATATTATCAACTAATTATGCCCTCTAATTAATCCAATCAGCTAACAACTAACAACCATTTATCAAATAGGGTCATAGTGGTTACGAATTTCTCTCGTCACTTAAAAGAAAAAACAAGAATATTATATTCCTCTCTAGATTTAGGTCTTAATTAATTTGACATTAACGTACTCTATGGTACGAAAAATAATTTAATATCATACACCCTTCGTCATATTTTAAGTTTCCAATTTAATTAACAAGAAGTTATTTTAAATAGTTTATAAATATTAGCGAATAATATTTATATATTTAAAAAATAAAGATGACACTTTTTTCCCTGTGTTGTTTACTAATAGCACATTTCCCCCCTATGTTGTTTATGTAACTACTTTATCCCCCTTAATTGTTTTTGAAATGGCTATTTCCCCCCTCTCCGTTAAATAAGTGTTAGAGATGTTAAATATGAGGGTAAAAATGACATTTCACTTATTATTATTATTATTATTATTGTTGTTGTTGTTGTTGTTGTTGTTGTTGTTGTTATTATTATTATTATTATTATTATTATTATTATTATTATTATTAGTAATGAATTTGGTTTGCAAACTGTAGTATATTAGGGCGTTGGGTGGGTAATTCATTAATAATAATAATAATAATAATAATAATAATAATATTATTATTATTATTATTATTATTATTATTATTATTATTATTATTATTATTATTAGGGCGTTAGGTGCATGGGATCGTTCATTAATAATAATAATAATAATAATAATAATAATAATAATAATAATAATAATAATAATAATAAGAAGTGAAATGCCATTTTTATCATCATATTTAACATCCTAACACTACTTAACAGAGAGGGAGAAAAATAGCCACTTCAAAAATAATTGAGGGGGATAAAGTGGTTACATAAACAACACAGGGGGGAAATGTGCTATTAGTAAACAAAACAGGGGGAAAAATGCTATTTTCCCATTTAAAAATTATACTTCTTATTAAAACTTACGTAAATTTTAAAAATTATAATAAATGTTAAAAATAAATTAAAAAAAAAACAATATAATATTATGAACATCATAATTGGGATTAATTATTTAAAAAAAAAATGGTAAAGACGGAAGACTTCAACCGTTGTCTAAAGATTGAATGTGCAATAAATAAATCTCGCTCTTGTGTAATGTCTTACAAATTATACGAGAGAGATAAATTATACTAAAAGACTTTGTGAGATATATTTAACTATATTAGTAACTATATAAATATATTATTCAAAATTTAATAACACTTGTACATCGTCATTGACACGATTTTTTGTGTTTGCACCAACTATGATTTGTCGCCAAACCTTAGGCAAAAGACTTTCAAGTCAAACCTTGATAAAATATATAACCAAGAAAAATAATTAAATACATTTTTTTTAAATGTCATTTTTTTTTTTTTTACCATAGTCAATGCTCCAACTCCGTCTATCATACGGCGGAGACCCTTTCTACATTTGGCGAGGCGTCAAACATTCTCCACGTGCAATTTATTAAATGTTGTCTCCCTATATTGTTTTCTTCATAATTTTATTTATTGTTATAT